GGGAACTTAAAAAGTCAAAATATATTATATTGTATATTAATATGAATATCAATTGAAGATTGTGATATAATGATTTAATAGTACAACACTTATGATTACACAGATGTTGGTTAGAAAAATTATATTGAAATTCTTAAAAGAAAAGTGTACGAGATTTTTTTTTTTAAATACATTATAATTTATATTTGAAATAATTTTCCACTTGAACAATTTGTTAGTCTTATACTATAATAATTTTTTAATTCATATGCAATGAATTTATATGAACCTTTTTAAATAATATATGATTTTATCCCTCCCTATATATTAATGCAAAATGTCATGATTCTACGTTTATTAATATATGATTTATTTTTATAATAAAAAATAAAAATATTTATTTATTTTATATATATAGTATGAATCAAATCGAAACTTGCCAAAAAATACTTTATTTGATATATTATATATGAAAGACATATAACAAATATAAAAGTTATTAACTTTTTAATATATTTATAATTCAAATTAGCAATGTGCTTTATAATTTTAAAAGTCTAATAGGTACGGATAGAATCTAGATCTACATGCACTACTCCGAAAAAAGAATTGACACATAGGATTTCAAAACTTCAAAATTCTACACATAGATTACGAAGTATCGAATGTCGACACGTAATATATAGAGATTTGACATACCATATCTGAAAAACTCATGAAAAATAAAAAAGTTTATTTAGAATAAAAGTTGTCTAGATGAGTTTCATAAAGTTACAAGCATCCATCTATTTATATAAAAGTCAAAATTGTGCGGGCTCACTAACATGAAGCGCACCATGAACGGAGAAAGCCCATATGAAGTTCAAGTGGGGTTCCATCCCATGTATAAACAATTTAGGACAACTCACAAGTGGTATTCTAACACGCTCCCTCATTTGTGAGTTCTTCGAAAGTCCAAGTCCAACTGGCTGGGTGATGGGTACGTCATCGCACGGTCACCAATAGAACCGGCTCTGATACCATGACAGAAAACGCCCTCTCACTTGTGAGTTATTCGAAAGTCCAAGTCCAACTGGCTGAGTGATGGGTACGTCATCGCACGCTCACCAATAGAACCGACTCTGATACCATGACAGAAACTGGGGAAAAAATGGGTGCGAGTTCACTAACATGAAACGCATGACAGAAACTGGGGAAAAAATGGGTGCGAGTCCACTAACATGAAACGCACCATGAACGGAGAAAGTCCATATGAAGTCCAAGTAGAGTTCCATTCCAAAACCAATTGGTGGAAGGAGTAGCCCATTAGTCTTATAAAGTAAGTCTATTTTCCATGTATTAACGATGTGGGACAACTCACAAGTGATATTTTAACACTACATTTTTACACAATAAAATTACGAATCAACATAAATTGAATCTTTGAATAACCAAATAACACATCAAAACATTAACAAAATGAGATGGAAAAAGCTTTAGGAATTTTGTGATTTATATATAAAGACGAATTCTAGTATTGTGATCTGATGCATGGATATGATAAAGGGCCTAAAACATTTTGTTTTGCGACAGACTTTACCGTGGTCCTGAGCCACATTCCACATGCTTTAAGTTTAATGATTGATAATCATACGACAAATTTACAGCCCAATAAAAACGGACCACCTTTTCAAATTCCATAGTGGTCCGGAAGTCATCGCAATAAATGTACAAACTTTAAAGAAAAGAGCTTCACCATGCTTCTTTCCCTTTAAGGGCATTTGGTTTAATTTTTTTTCCATTCATTTAGTAAAAAAATTACATTTTCTTTCATCAACATCATCTTTTCACTAATTCTCTCTCCATTTAAATACACTCTCACATCCATATCCATGCATTTAAATACATATATGGGACCCACTATCCACTCATTCAATATAAATTTTAATATTCTATTCTTAATAAAAATAAAATTTTAATATTTTTAAATTATAATAATAAATTTTAAATGCATGGAAATAAAAAAAATACTACAAGACCAAAATAACTTAAATTCAAATTATACAAGAAATAGAAAAAACTTAAATTTATCATATTGAGAAGTGTGATATAGATAAAAAATGAATTAAATATAAAATAAAAAGATAAAAAATTGAATAAATAAAAAGAAAAAAAAAAAGAAAAAGCAATGAACGGCGTTCAGCATGCTGAACGCCCAAATGTGTCCACAAATTAATGAATGAGTTACATCCATCTTGAATGCCACCCTGGCTTTTAAACGCCCAAATTAATGGGGCGATGTAGGTGCCCTAATATCTAACCAATACTTGGACACGACCTGAGTTTATGGGTTGGGTCAATCATCCAATGAATAATTAATTTTAAAATTTAACGAAAATTATAAGTTTCTGGCAAATTTTTATCTGCATAAGCGTCAATTTTGGAGTTTCATAATATTAATTGTCAATTTTTTGTAATTCATAATCCTAAATGTTTGTTTCGGATTAGTTCATATAAATTTAAATTTTTATTTATGTGTATTAGGACTTGTTATACACAAAAACCACTCATGTACTAGGTGCCCAATCAATGCGAAAGAATACAAGAATTGGGTCCATTTTTTACTATGAGTCCGCGGAAGTAGGTCCAAGAAGATGTGCCGCCGAAGCAGCGTCGATCTATATCCTCTTGGATGTTGATTTGTCCCTATTTCATCTTATGGAAGATTGTTGGTCTCTCTGTCATATCAACAAGAACTGACAAAGCAAACTGTTAAAACGACCGTCCAGTCGATTTCATCATCAAAAGAATTTTTTTACTATAGTTTAGAAAATTGGGCCGGACTGGCCGGTCCGACCGGTTGGACTGAAGACCGGTCAGTTGACCGATCCAGTTCGTTGGGAAAAATCGGTTGCTAGCGAATCGGTAAAAAACTGGTCGATCGGTTGAACCGATCAAATACTGGTACTGTCGGACTGGTTGAACTGGTCCAATGTTTTTTTAAAAAATAAATTTTAATATATTTATAAATATTTTTAATATAAATAAAAAATATATATTTCAATATAATGGATATATGTAACTTATTATTAGTTATTTTTAGTATTTGAATGTTTTAAATTGACTTAGTATTTAATTAACAAAATTTTATATCTAAATTTTATTATATAAAATATTGTATATATAAATTAAATACTGGTCCAACCGGTTCAACCACTGCTTGGACCAGTGAACCATTGAACCAGTAGTTTGATCGGTTCGATTTTCATAACCTTGATTTTTACATGAGGACGCGGGTCACTCTCTTGGGTCCTTAACTGACATCTAAATCATGGTTATTTTCTAATTTTTGGTGTATAAATTAAAGATAGAGGCTTAAAGCCACGAACAATTTCCTGAGAAAATTTTCCTCGTCGATCTATCCTTCAGATCGGCAATCATTCATTGCACCATTTAATTTAAATTTTGTGATTTTAGGTTCCTGAAAAAAACTGTTAACTTATTTAAACCCCTGGATTATAGCAACAAGTAGCTACATAATCCCCATTATCTTTCAATAAGTCGCCCTAATATTAGTTGATGCCTGAACTTCAATAAAATGGCGCAAGAGGAAGGACGACCATCAAGGGTTACCTCTGAACCTCTCCCTATGAATAGATGTACCTTATACAGACTTATTTTCAACTGAGAACACCATCTCCTACCGCTCCTAATGGAGCATCTGATATTCTGGCCAAAAGGAAGGGTGACGTGGCTGATCCTCTTATTATCTTTTCATCTTATTACTTAGGCCAAATAAAAAAAAAATACTTTGAAAAATTTCTAGATACCACCTTTTTTGCCTTCTTTTACCATGAAAAATTCTGATCTACGATCACTTATCAATCTCCATATTAGCCCACATTCGACAAGAACACAGATCGACTAGCTCACCTTCGACAAGAATGTCGAGAGGTGGGAGACTTCTGTCCTAGAGTAGCGACGACTTCCAACTAGTCGAGGTCCTAAGGATGACTCTGACAAAAAATACCATTTTTTTCTTAGATCTTGTCCTTAGGTCTTGAAACCTTTAACCTAGCGATTAACCTGTTTAGTCGGGCGATCACTTTCTTTGNACACGGCGGGTTCGGGTCGATAACCCTCATTTCCTTTTTATTTTTTATTTTTTTCTATTGTTTTTTCAAAAAAGTCCGGACCCGGCCCGGACACGACCCAACCTAGACACGACCCGGCCCAGACACGGACCCGGCACGAGTATAGGTTCGTGCCGGTTCAGGGTCAGTGTTTTCGAGCCCAGCGACCCGGCGGGCCGGGCCGGTCCGTGCCCTGGCCAGGGTTTTGGCCATGTCTAGGCCAGTCATGTTATGAGGAGTAATCTCAAACCCTCAGGTCGAGATCAACCATCAAGGTCAGTCGAGACCAAAAGCTGCCACCATTAATTATGAAGATCACCATATCGATAAAAATAGACTATGATATGTGCAAAGATGCTCCCATATAACGGCAGATCAGCATACTGCCAAAGCATCAACCTATGAAAAAATGATCGACAAAGGATGATGCGTCGAAAAACAAGCATTGATGATAATGGACGAGAGGCTCAATGAGTATTTTTATCTATGATATGTGCAAAGATGCTCCCATATAACGGCAGATCAGCATACTGCCAAAGCATCATCCTATGAAAAAATGATCGACAAAGGATGATGTGTCGAAAAACGGGCATTGATGATAATGGACGAGAGGCTCAATGAGTATCACAAAAAGAACATAGATCTCCTACTCAGAGCCTCGACCATTTCTTTAAAAATATGAAAATATGTTAAAAAAATAGATAGATACGTCTACAAATAAACATGTTTAGTTGTATGTTTATGTATCCCATCAGAATAAAATTACTTTATGAATTTCGTTGGTATCTCATGACGAAAATGCATTTTTAGCATGTTTGATTAATTACTTATATCTTTAAAAGAAAGGGATCAAAGTTAAATCCCGTCACAATTCATGGCGGTTCAATTAATGGCGATCTCTCCTTTAAGATGACCTCAAAAGATTCATTGGGGGATCGAACGATCGATAAAACCCGCATCAACAACGATCGTGAGTCCGCGAATAGAATGATCAAGATGGCGTATAAACTCTCACGGTGAAATGCCGAACAAGGCCAAGCCGCTCAAAAACTTCAAAAATCTTACACTCATGGTAAAATAACAATCATGGCCAAACCGTTCGAGTTTTTAAAACATCTCATGGTAAAACGCCGAACGAGGACAATCCGTTCGAGATCTACAAAGTCTTACACTCACGGTGAAACGCCGATCAGGCCAAACTGTTCAAGTAAACATGTTTTGATCAATTTTTTTTTTTATTCTTTAGGTATTCTTATTTGAAGAAGAAGAAGAAGAAGAAAAGAGAAGAAGAAAGAGAAAACGTGAAAAGAGTAGTAAGAGAGAGAAAAAAAAAACTGTTAACTTATTCTTTAGGTATTCTTATTTTGTGATTTTAGGTTCCTGAAAAAAACTGTTAACTTATTTAAACCCCTGGATTATAGCAACAAGTAGCTACATAATCCCCATTATCTTTCAATAAGTCGCCCTAATATTAGTTGATGCCCGAACTTCAATAAAATGGCGCTAGAGAAGGACGACCATCAAGGGTTACCTCTGAACCTCTCCCTATGAATAGATGTACCCTATACAGACTTATTTTCAACTGAGAACACCATCTCCTACTGCTCCTAATGGAGCATCTGATATTCTGGCCAAAAGGAAGGGCGACGTGGCTGATCCTCTTATTATCTCTTTTCATCTTATTACTTAGGCCAAATAAAAAAAAATACTTTGAAAAATTTCTAGATACCACCTTTTTTGCCTTCTTTTACCATGAAAAATTCTGATCTACGATCACTTATCAATCTCCATATTAGCCAACATTTGACAAGAATACAGATCGACTAGCTCACCTTCGACAAGAATGTCGAGAGGTGGGAGACTTCTGTCCTAGAGTAGCGACGACTTCCAACTAGTCGGGGTCCTAAGGATGACTCTGACAAAAAATACCATTTTCTTCTTAGATCTTGTCCTTAGGTCTTGAAACCTTTAACTTAGCGATTAACCTGTTTAGAGAAGAAGAAAGAGAAAACGTTAAAAGAGAAGTAGGAGAGAGAAAAAAAAAAGATGATGAGAGAGAGTAGTTACTTATTAGTTTAATTTTTGAATTAATAGTTTTTCAACTTTCCATTGTAGTAGATATTATTCATATTTATTATTCATATTGTTTTGAAATGATGAGAGTGGAATTCTCAATCTCACAAATCAATTTATTTTATGGAAATGATTTTAAATAGAAGCCCATTTATGTCTTTCGGCCTAGAACATTCGTTTCTTTATTATTGAGGCCCAGCTGTGGTCTGGCTACATAACCCTCTGCTTATATTTGTCCCCTTCAAACCCAATCCACCATTTGCCCCATCCTACTTTGAAACCTGAAAAAACCCTAAAAATTTTCATTCTCCTCTTCCGCCGCCGCCGCCTCAATCATCGCCGGAGGTTAGTTCCATTCGCTGATAGGCCATCATGCCGAAGGTGAAAACGAACCGGGTCAATTATCCAGATGGATGGGAGCTGATCGAGCCCACGCTCCGCGAGCTGCAGGCCAAAATGAGGGAGGCCGAGAACGACCCACACGACAACAAGAGAAAATGCGAGGCCCTTTGGCCGATCTTCAAGATCGCGCACCAGAGGAGCCGATACGTTTTCGATCTCTACCACCGGAGGAAGGAGATCTCGAAGGAGCTGTACGATTTCTGTCTGGATCAGGGGTACGCCGACCGCAACCTGATCGCGAAGTGGAAAAAGCCCGGCTACGAGAGGCTCTGCTGCCTGAGGTGTATGCAGCCCAGGGACCATAACTTTCAGACCACTTGCGTCTGTCGAGTCCCGAAGCATTTGCGCGAGGAGAAGGTCGTAGAGTGCGTGCATTGCGGCTGTGGGGGCTGTGCGAGTGGAGATTGAGGATCTTGTTCCGAACTGGTAAATTGTAGAATTTCATCTTGTAAAAGTTCAATTGAGTTGTTTTTCAAGCATTCAGGTACCCTTTAGTTTGTGTTTCAATTTTTTCGAATAGAAACCTCGAATCGTGTCTGTGGTGCCTCGGAGTGTGAATTTGCATTTTAAAAAGATGACATTTTTTTTCTTTTCTTTCTTGTTATTAGACTGAAAGCTGGGTTTTGAAAAATCATATTATGTGAATTTGTTTTTATAGAATGCATTTGAGTTGAAGGGCAATTGGTGGTATTGGGAGTGATAGTAATCTGTTAAATATAAACCAAAAGAAGTAACTTCTGCACCACATGAACTACCTACAGTAATTATATGTTGTTGTTCATGGTGGCTAATATCTTTTCTCGATAGGTAGTTCATTGTAATTTAAATCCATTTTCAATCTTTATATTGTTCGGACTAGTGTTGAAAATGCTGGTGATGAAAAGAGTATTGGCAAGAGCTGCAACAACAAAAAATGCGCGTCCATGGTAATAGCCATGGTGTTGTTGTTGCTATGATGAGTGTGCCAATATGCTAATCTGAGGCCTTTTTTGCATCGTTTCATGATTTATTTTATCTTGTTGATTTGTCTTTCAGTGCATTGTTTGGATAATTGATAAAAAAGTTTTGATGTTGTTGATTTCAGATTTTGACAGGAGTACTGTCTTCTAATATATGCATTGGTTGTAGTAGATGCTAGAATATGCCATACTTACCCGCTAAATAATTATTCAGGAATAAATAGCTATTTGGGATAAACAGTCTAGTTTTGCCTAACAAGATTTGAGATGGCTTTTGCCCTTTGTGTTTCAAATGCCTGGGGTCATCTTTCGAAATTTTGATTTCTGTTTCTTACAAAGTTCTGTTGATTTCTTATGGTTGCAGTTTGCTAAGAAATTGCTGTTTGGTTCTTGTGTACATCCTGTGTAATATGGAGCGTTGGGATCTGATACAATTGAAGTTTTTGTACTAATGTGGTATCCAAATAGAGATATTCTCTTGGTTCTTGTATTTATGAAAAATAATGTTATTTGATCCCCCTTCGAAATTGACCTACAAAATTGTAGTGCAGATCTGTTGTTTGTTTATGTGAGGTAGATTTGTTTAATGCACAAAGTTGCCCTTGAAATGAAATTTCTCTACTGATTTTGTCTCATATTCTTGTAAGCATGGTCTGATGATTGAAGCTGGATGAGCTGTGGGGACGGCCGTGACCTCCGCGTATTGGGTCGGCCGGATAGGACAAAAGAAAAAAAAAAGTGACTTTTTNGAGGGAAAATGACACTTGTTTCATTTCTAAGATAAAAGATAATTTAAATTATTGGGTTAATTTATAATAGAAAAAGAAAAAATACTAAAATTCATAATTTTTCATTATTTGTAAATAGGGACCACTAAATTTTAAGTTTCAGAACATAATTTTAATTTCTCGCTTCACTCTTTTTCTAATTTTACCTTATTATCTTTATCATCTCTTTCATTTTTTTTTTCTAATTTCCAACAAATACTATATGAATTCAAATTTTCAATATTACTCATTGTAATAAAAATCGGCCTAGGTGGCCGTCTAGGCGCCACCAGGCAGCCTGATTTACATGAGTCGGATGAAAAAATTAGTTAGGCGGCTAGGCGGGTTGGACGGTGTTTAGGCGGGCTCTGCGGCAATTTTTCAGTTTTCTTGTTAAATGTCAATTGTATTTTTTATTATCATATTTTTTTAATAATATATTATATATTATTTGAAGTGTAGATTTATTTAAAGTTGATGTAGTTTTATTTTGAAGTAGTTAAAATAAATAAAGAAAATAAAGTATTTAATCTTAATTTTTGGGTCTCGTCTAGGCGCTACTGTTGATCAAAAGCATAGCGGGCGCCTAGCGACTTCTAGAACTAGACATGGCCAAAACACGGGCCGGGCTCAGGCTCGACCTGGCCCGACGGGTCGACGGCTTGGGTTTCGTGGACCTTGAACCGTCACAGACATAGGTCGCGCCGGGTCCATGGCTCGGCGGGTCAGTCTGGGCCCGACCAAATAAAATAATAATAATAATAATAATACTAATAATAATAATAATTATAATAATAAAAGAAAGGCCCTGGGTCGATCCAATTAAAATCTGAGTCGGGACCGAACCCTTGTTCAACGGGCTTAATCGGGCCGGGTCTGGGCCGGATCGACGGACTGGGTGGCCCATGGTCACCTCTATTCTAGAACACTGATATTACTCCAATTCTCAAAATTTGTCGAACTCTGAAAATTTTTGGAGTTTCGAAAATTATTGACAAGAGCCATTTTCTCTGAATCTTACTCAATTTCCTACCTCTTGAAACATCTTCTGGAATTTATTTCGAAATGTGCAATAGACGCGCAAATCCTCGAAAAGAAACGAAAAATGTTAGTTGGAGTGTGGCGAAAGATCTTGCGTTAATGTCAGCTTGATGTTTCGTTAGCGAAGACAAAATGCCTGACAAGAATGAGAAGGGTTCTTCGTTATGGGCATAGCAGAAATGTTTGAACAAGCTCGATCGAAAAATCCAGAAGAAATTGCTGAAACTACTTTGGATTCAACGAAAGGTCGTTATAAACGTCTTACTGAAAATGTAAACAACTGGAGAGGTGCATACATAGAAGCATACAAAAATAAAAGGAGCAGAATGAGCATGGAAGATGTTAAGAAAGAAGCTCATATAATTTATGAAGCCGGTAACAGTAACACCAAGTTTACGGACTTGCATGTGTTTGAAGAAGTTATGTGAAAGCATCCCAAATGCAAACTAAAATTAGGTCGTGATTCAACTCGTTCACGTTCTAAAGATGAAGTGAGTAATGAATAATGCCGTGGCAGTACAAAAATATCGAGGACTACTGAAGATGGAGATTATTCAGTTCCCCCAAATTCAGAAACTTTAATTAGTGATGGTTCAACAATTCTCCGTCTCGAAAGTAAAGATATGATTAATAAGAAAAGAAAAAAAGTAGCATCACAATCTTCTTCCATTCTTGATGAGTTCACTGTAGGAACTCATGCAATAAGACTTACAAGAAATAACAAATATGATTTAATGGCCAAAATAGCGAATGATAGGATGGAGTTGGCACGCAAAAAAGAAGAAAAAAAGACTAAGAAATGAATATTATAATGTTGAATACGTTGTTGTCAAATCACCATTTATTGCCGGAAGATGAAGAGTTGAAACGTCGTTTAACAATAATTGTATTAGGAAATTCACTGTAATTTATTGTCTTGTGACTGTAATTCGTGTCATGTTAGTTATTCTCATGTAAGCTTTTCTATTCCTGCAATTTGAGTTATTCTATAAAAGTCTAATTAGTATGTTTTTTTCATCTAATCTTTTTCAAAAGTCGCATGTTACTTCCATAATTGTTCTACCTACTAGTATAACAGTCACATGCAAAATGAACGGCCAAAACTTGTCTGGAATATAGTGTATGAATTATCACTATCAAATAGCAACTTTATTTTTTCTTCCAAAATTCACATGCATTTTTTCATAAATGTTTTCGTAAGTCAAAAGAAATTCATTTACTTTACTTCACTTTTACTTTACTTTTGCTTTACTATACTTTATTTTTACTTTATTATTATTTTAAGTCATCTTAAATCTACACCAAAATCTTAGTTTTCGTTTCTTATTCCTATATATTATGATTGGATCAATATCAATTTATACCAAAATAATCTCTTAGCCATTTACTTCATATCAATTATAAACTTTGTTTTTTATAAGCCAGTTCATTTTTGTTCACAAATATCTTCAAGTGAAAACTCATATGAAAATCCAAGTTCTAGTTTTGAATCTTCCAATCTCATCAAATTTGATGAATGGGAAGAACGAGTGTTCAACAAAATGTACGATTTAATCGCATCATGAAAGATGTGATTGTTCGTATTTCCAATATGGTCTTACAACCAACAAATGACGGTCCTAGAGATAGAATGCTGATCATTGAGAGGCAACGAGATAGGGAGAGGAGAATGCATCCAATGATTACTTTTTCGACAATCCAACCTATTTTGAGGACATATTCCGTCGTAGATTTCACATGCATAAGCATGTTTTTCTACGTATAGTGAGAGAATCACCATCAACGATGAATATTTTAAACAAAGGCGTGACGCCACTGGTAGGCTGGATATTTCACCATTGCAAAAATGTACTGCAGCCATAAGGGTGTTGGCCTATGGGACATCAACGGCTGTTGTTGATGAATACTTGAGAATAAGTGAAACTATAACGAGGGAATCCCCCATGAAAATTCGTAGAAGTCGTCATTTCTAACTTCGGCAGCCAATACCTCTGAAGGCCTAATGAACAAGATTTGACAAGAATACTTCATGCAAGGGAGCAATGTGGATTCCTTGAAATGATGAACAATATTGACTGCATGCACTGGGGATGAAAAAATTGTCCTACTGCATGGGTTGGGCAATATACAGACAGAAGTGGAAAACCAATAATTATGTTAGAAGTTGTTGCATCATATAACTTATGGATATGGTATGCGTATTTTGGATTTCAAAGCTATATTGGCAAGCAAATTACAGGCCTCATGCGGAAGTTTTGGTGGAGGTCCAAAGACGGAGTTAACAAATTATCTTGGGTAAAATGTAATTCGTTGTGCCAATCGAAACACAATGGAGGGCTTGACTTTTGAGATGTGAAGATCTTTAATCGAGCAATATTGGCAACACAAATTTGGAGAATTCTCACTCGCCCAAAATCCCTTATCGCAAAGGTTTTGAAATCCAAATATTTCCCTCAAAAAAATATTCTTGAGGCAGTTACAAGGCTAGAGTCCTATTTTTTATGGAAGTCTTATGTGGGGACGGGATGTCATCAAAATGGGGGTACGTTGGAGGGTCAGAGATGGTTCTCAAATTAAAATTTTCTCGGATTTGTGGATCTCTTGATGTTATCATTTCTATACTTTTACTCCACCTTTATTGGGCCTGGAAAAAGTACAGGATCTCATGGGCGTACATGGGAACTGGAACGTAGACTTAATTAATTTAGCTTTTCTTCCTATCGAAGCGGAAAACATTCTATCGATCCCTTTGAACTATCTTGCCACGACAGATCAACTAATATGACATTTTGAAAAAAATGGCATTTCTTCAGTTCGTAGCGGTCATCGCCTTTCTCAAAATTCAATTGTTGATGATCCAACCTCGAGCACAAGAGGTCTAGCGTCATGGTGGCGTTTGCTCTGGTGATGGCATCTTCCGCCAAAAATAAAATCAGTCATGTGGCGTTTATCACACCGGGCGCTCACTTCAATGGAAAACCTCCATCGAAGACATATAAATTCTAATGTTAATTGTCCTAGATGTGGGTGCTGGGAATCAGATAACCACGTTTTCTTTGATTGTTGGTGGGTGAAGGAGCTGTGGAAAGCTGTGGTTTGTGGGGTAAGATCCCAAAATGGCGGAGGCAACATCTATGGCTGAGGCTTGTGAGCATCTCAGAGGGCTGCAAGAAATCCGACTTCAGGTTTTTTGTTATGTTTCTATGGCTCGTTTGGGAGGATAGAAATCTATTTTTGAATGGTGGTCGTCTGAGTGATATTGACGTGATGATTGATAAAGGCTTCAGATTGGTGAAGAACTACGACAAGGCCCAAGCTTGTACTATTTTCTATTCTGTTGGAAGCTTCGTAAAGGACCACTGAGCTTTGAAGGGAAGAAAAGGAAATGAGAATGGTTGTTATCTTCAATTTAACGCAGTTGTACGAGACTCTGAAATTGGTTTGGGAGTTTGGATAAAATATTCAGAAGGTCTTGTAGTCGCGATTTTCGAATCCAATATGTCAGGTTCATTCTCTCCAACTTTAGCTGAGGTTTTATCTATTCAATTTGGGTTACAGTTCACTTCTATGATAGGAGTGAAGATCCAACAAGTCACCACAAATTTTTTTGAAGTAGTGCAAAGACTGATCGCGAATGATTCACATCACCCTTTCAAAGGCATTTTCTCGAATATCCTAGCACCCTTGGATTCATTAGATTGTGGACTCAACATACCCAACCGACTTCATAATGAGATTGCTCGCACCATTGCTATAAGTGGGCGGTGGGATAAATAACCACGATAATGTGGTCGGATTGTATTCCAATCTATTTTTCTACTTTGTTGTGTAAGGACTTGACCATTAATGGGACTATAAACCTTCTTTATTAAAAAATAAATAAATAAAAAAATATCTTTCATGATATATTTTCTTTGAAACATACAGTTATGCCTTTTTGCCATGAGAAAATGGAGGGTCCCCTAGCAAGCCCGCCCATTTAGAGTGGGCCCGCAGGCCTCTTTTACCGTACCAACCTTTGTGTCATTCGATATTTATTATTTTATACTAATTTTTGAGATATTTTTTTTGTATTATTCCTTCAAATCAAACAATTAAGAAAACTGAAACAGACCAAATAACAAGTCATCAAATATGTGTGTGTACAACCGCTGGACTCGCATAAATCATCAGAAAGACCCAAACTTCCAAATCACAAAACCATCAATAATCAACACAAGAAGAAAACCTTCCAAAAGTAACAGAAAGAAAAGCAACTCAAAAAATAAATAAATAAAAAAAATCAACTGTGTATTCAACCAAATCAATGCTAAAAAAATCAGTCACAATTTGGAAAAATAAACATCATATCACTCACACGCGATTTTCGTATCAAAGCTGCTGAGGCAAATCGCAAACGCCTGAAATGCCGATATCGGATACCTATAATCCATGGTAAAGATATCCTTCCCCACCTTACCAAACTGTAAAATTACATTATTGTCCTCTTCCTGCCCGCTGCCCGAACTACTCGCCACCAACTGAAAATTCTTCACAGAGGCAACCGTTACACGCCCGTTGAAGTTTAGGCACCAGCACTGCAGCTGCTCGTGCCACCTAGGCGCCTTGTTCTTTAGGACCAACATCTCGTCATTGGGACTCGTCAGGGGCACGGACTGTAAATTGTTGGCTCGGGTTGACTTTGACCGGAAGAAAGGTTTGGAAGGGAAGGACTCGAAGTTTCCTGGCAAAAACGCGGTTTGTGTGGGGGCCTCACCGTTTGGTTCGACTGCCGATGAAGGTATGTTGTCCATCACACATTGCATGCGTCTCGGGCCCCTGTTTATAGTTCGATAATTACGAGAGAGTTTTGATCTAATACGAGTCTGTTATCGAACCGAACTGAACCGAGCTTAAGGTTTTCGAGCTCGAGTTCGATTAATTTTTTAACATGTTTGTTCGTGTTTGTTCGTTTATTATTCGCACAAAAAATTTTGTTCGTGCTCGTTCGTTTATTAGTTCGACAAGTTTGCGTTCATTCGTTTATATAGTCAAACTTGTTCGTGAACTGTTCATAAGTTCGTGTTTGTTGACTTTATTTTCTTTATTTTAATACCATACAAGTTATTTTATTTAATATTTAATATATATCCATATATATATATATGTATATACTATATATAATATATAAAATTATAAAATAAATTTTTGTTCGCGAATGCTCGTTTAGTTCGGTGTTCGTTCGATAACTAAACGAGCATTATTTCATGTTCGTGTTCGTTCAATAACTAAACGAGCATAATTTTATGTTCGAGTTCGGTTCGATTACTAAACGAACGAGCTGTTATCAAACACGAACGAGCTTTGTTCGCGAACTCGATACACCCTTTTTCCCGAGTAAAAATTATGGGTTGTTGGCAATTCGGGAAGAAAAGCTCGACTCTATCAAGAAATAGTTATACAAAAAATGATGTGGAAGTAGAGGGCCTTATTTTATCAACTTTCAATGAAAAAAATATCTGATAAAAATGATCAAAATTAATCATCACCTTGAACCCAAGACATTCAGCTCGTATGATATGTGGGCCACGGGATAGTTGCCAGCAGGGACTCGGGGAGAGATTTGCCTCAGTCCAACTAACCTCGTCGAACGAGATTTAGCGACTTTAGCTCCGAGATTTGGAGGCTGGGCATCATAAATTATGAATTTGGTGCCCAAGAAATTAGACCTATAACATGAACAAATGAAACAATATGTAAATATAATATATCTTTGTATGAAAAGCATATTGAATCCTTTAAAGGGTACTATAATACCTCAATTTTCCAATATAGTTATTGCTGCACTTTGATACATCATCAGCATTTAAAGATATAATGTAGTCTGTGTAAGTCGGGCGTCTATGTCGTTGGGCGGAAAGAAGGAATTTCCCATCATCATTAGAAGCTGTTTGAGGAAAAAAAAACAGAGAAATAAATTGAGGAAAAAGATGCACGAAATCATAAAATTGCAAACACATATATGTCACTAAAAATTAACGAAAAATATTAGGATCTTTATTTTTTAACGAAAAATATTAGGATATTTACCTTGGCTCAAGTTGAGGTAAAGATGATAGGTTTGAGTCCCATGCTTCCGCTTAATGAAGCATTGAATCATGGCATTTCTTGGGCCAGGCTGCAAAAAATACACCCAAAAACTTACTTTTTTTATGAGTAAATGATTTTCCCATCATAAAGTCCGATTTGATGTATACATAATCATGATAGAAGACAAATGTAACAAAAATACACCCAAAAATGTGTTATAGGCACTTTAAATTTATGACTGATGTAACGCAAACTAAAGAAAGACAGTGCACTTGCTATTCAGACTGAGATTTCTGAATTTAGATCTTGCACGTAAAGAAAAGCACTGGCAAAGCAAAATCATGCGAGACCCTAAATCTCAATAATTTATAAAAAGTACAAAAACGAAAACATAAATGACTTTCTTGCTTCAAATTTATATTCCCTTCAAATTTTGATCTTCAAAAAAATTGTCTAACAACTCCAATGATGATTCATGATTTGTCGAAAATACCATATAAAACCGAAATTCGATACAGCAACTAGAAGCTACATAGCACGATATCAATAAGCTTCTAAAAAGCTTCATTCAGGATTTACATAACACTAAAAGCTAGACTCCAAGAGTCAATATAATGGCTAAAAAAATCAAGAAACTACGCCGAAACAAAATATAATTAAGTCACACAACACAGGCAGAAGACATAAAACAAACAAGAAACACAACAAACCTGCTTAAGAGAAATAGGAAATGTCAACTTTCCAGAAACTTCCAAATTAATCACTATTTCCTTCATTATATCTCTCCAACTCCTACAAACACCACCACAAGCAACTACATTGCTTCTCTGTGGCCAATTACACTCAGACTCCTCAATTCTAGCAAGCACGTCCCTTAAAAGCTCGGGCGGCATATTAGCCCAACAACTCTGCCTCATAACATCATCAACAACACTCAGAGGACCATCCTCCACCACACGATGGGACCTTGACCTAATCCTCCCAAATTCACCCTTCATATCTTGAATTATACTCTTGAAGGACATAATTAACCCAATGCAACTTTCAAGATTGAATAAAGATGAAAATTTGCAGCAACCCCACTTACGGGTAAAACCCTAAAAATCTAAACTTCGACCATTTTTACCATCGATTGCCTAATTGAAAGGCTGTTTGGGAGTAATGTCAAGCTGCGTGACCCAAAAAACATGCTAAAAAGTTAACTACAAAAACCCCAATCGAAGCAAACCCTTGTAAGATAACGACAATAATCAGCCAAAAATGATCAATCTACACATAGTTTTGATTGGTCCCTAATATTTCAAATCCTGAGGAGGAAAAAAAAAAACTGTGGTTTAATGAAAAACAATATTCACATCACATGTCAATCTTGATGTAGAACAAACCAATCTAAGGACAAATCAACATTCCCAGAAAAAATAAAACCCTCAACGACCGAGAGCAACACAGATCTGTACAAAACAATAAAATTCCTTCAGCAATATCCTATTTTTTCCATTACAAGAAAAGAACGAAATGAAACATCCGTATTTTTCTTTTTGATAAATAATTACAGCGGAAAAAAAAGACAAAAAGGAAAAGGGTTTTTCACTTTTTCTACAGCAAGAGGAATAATTTAGGTAAACCCCCCTTTGATTTTAATTTGAGTTTGACAAGCTGGTCTTGTAGTTTAGACTTTTACAAAGTAAGAGAAGAAAATGGTGTAAAAGTGAAGAATATACAGGTCGCCAGTTGGTGAGTGTGTTCTTTTTATGAATTATATGTGACCTCTTTTGTGGCTGCTTCAAGACTTGGGTTTATGAATTAAAGGTTGTACTAGATACAAGGCAACACTAGTAATGTATTATGAATTAGATATATAAATAATATGTAACATGATTCACTTCCAATGTACATTGTTCCGATTCGCATGAATAAAACGTTTGCTAACATATCGGTCACATCAATTTCTCAAATAGGTTGATCGGTCCAATTCTTTAAATAAATTTTGTTATATATTAAATTAATTTTAATATAAATAATAATAAATATTAAAAATAAAATAGAGAGTTACAAATTATTTATCAGTTAATTAAAATATTTGAATATTTTAATTGCATAGATATCTACTTATTATTTTTATATAAATTTATTACAAAAAAATATTACATATATATATATATACTTAAATATTAATAAAAGAAATTTTCGTCCAATTAGTGAATCATTGAACAAATCGTATAATCTGTTCATGACAGTTCAGTATGAGAATTTTGTATTTACCGCACATTGATAACAGTTGGAATACAATATAATTTTATTCACATAAATATTAATAAATGATATATAAAATTTCAGTAAGCATTGAACATTTTGTCATAAGAGCATTTTTTGATATGATAAGTTGGAGTTTGGATTACATTACATTTATCGTAATAATGTATTTTTAATATTAAATATTTTTTATTTGTTCTATCAAACTTATCCATAATTTGGTCACCAGGAAAAACCCTAGTTGTGTCATGTTTCTAGAGTATTTTAAATATGACGTAAGAGTAATCCAATCAATCTGGACAACAACTTATTCAATCAGTTCGAACGATCCAAAGATGTATAATTTTCAAATGGTAGGATGTATAATTTTATTACTGGCTTTCTAGTGCATGTCTCTCATTTGATAGTAAAATTAAGAAAGTACAAATAATTAGACTCTAATTAATTCGACAACAAAAAACTATCCTATTTTCTCTCCTTTTATTTTAAATAAAATACAATCACTATTAAAGTGTATGCTCTTTATGGATGAATATTCCGCGACTGATTGGGGTTTTAACTTATTTGGGATTTTCATCTAATACATGATTTGCAATAGTGTTAAATGAACCACATTTCAGTACAAAACTCTGCTGAATAATTTGTTTCAAATCATGTCTAGTTTTTTTACACTACCAAAAGAAAGAATTTGTTAAAGAATGCCATGGCCATGCAGTAAATAAGCAAGATTTATCTTTATGAATTACATAGCCTCAATCACATGGAGTCCACATTGTACTTCCACAATTCATTACAATGCCACAACTCTCAATAGTCTAGAAACAACTCTCAATAGTCTAGAATATTTTTTCAATTAAACAAACTTATACACATGAAAACCATAAAAATGATCATTCATAAATCATAACACTAAACCAAATGCCAGCAAGAAGAGTAGAGAACCCATGGAACTCAGAGTTCCCCACGCATTCAACCCGAGTGAAGATGAATCCAGAAATGGGCCAGAGCCAGAGGGCCCAAATGCCATACCCGGGCCTGCAGCGGCCATTGCATCTGGATTTGGCGGGCTTGGGCTCGAGGGTATTATGTTAACAGATGAATCACTTGGAGAAGGAAATAGAGGAGTTATGTCTGGAGATGATGATGCTGGTTCTGGCGAGGAAAAATTATCAGGCAATAAAGCAGGCGCAGCCGAAATTACAGAGGCCGGTAGATTATTTTCCGAGGCTAGCGATGATGAAAAGATCGATACAAAGATGGTAACAAAAATCAAGATTAATAATATACTTTTAGTGTGTGCCATTAATGATGAAGAGAAGATACTTCTGCCCCTTTTTGATACCCCCTTGTAGTTATTTTGCTACAAGATTGGAACTTTATTATAAGGGTACTGAAATAAATGAAGGGTTTTTT